GTTTATGTAAATGCATTTCTGGATTTTCAGATGAATTTTATCGTGAAATGAAGTCACATTATTCAAAAGAGAATAATAATATTTTAGAAGATAAGAAATGGTATTTTGATGTTGGTGAAGAATTGAAACCTGACGGTATTTAATGAAAAAATTTTTTGGGCATTTATTACCTGATTGATTAATTAATTAACTAATCAATCTATGTAGTTTGGTTTGAGCCTAGTGAAGTTTGGGAGATTAAAGGTGCAATTGTAACTATATCTCCTATATATAAAGCATCAATTGGTTTAATTGATAATAGTAAAGGATTATCACTAAGGTTTCCAAGATTTGTTAAAGTTAGAAATGACAAATCCATTGAGGATGCTACAACTAGTGAACAAATAGCAGATTTATATTATAAACAACAACAGGTTAAGGTCAATAATATCAATAACAACAACGGCGACAACAAAAATAATAACTGTGATCTTCAACTGGATAATGAAATTAATGATGATGATTATGATGAAATGATTAATTGAAATAAACATTCTTTTAAAAATTTGATGATTAATAAGAATAATAAAAAAATTTGTTGTGATCTCCTATTATTGTAATAAATGATTATTTCTATGAATTATTATTAATAATAAATGCATGTCTTGTTTTTATTATTTACAAAAAATATATCTTCAAACATCAACGTTTATTTTTTTAAAATTAAATTAAAATTTCCCTCTTCCTATTCTAATTGAAACTAAAAAGAAAGAAATCCCCAAATTAATATATATATATATATATAATATGCAAAAAAAACTTAAGATTAAAATTAAAAATAAAATTTCGAAAATAAAGCAATTATTGTTGTATTTTTGTTATCGTCTTCCTACCCATTTAAAACAATACGATTCTTTGCCATTGTATAAAACAATTCTTGACATCACGAATCTATGTTTTATAACATTATTTTCCACTTCGATCCAGATCTTGTCCTGAAGTGTTTTATCTTGAAGTAATCTATTTAAGATTAAATTACGCCATTGTAAAGATACCACTTCTGGTTCAAATCGAATCGAACAAAGTAAGTGATCAGTTGCTTGAATAACTAATTGTCTATATTTTTTTTGTCTTCTTATATAAATACACAACGAACAAAATATGACAAATGAAACAGAACCAACTAAAAATAATAATATTGTTATTGTTGTTATGTTAATATATAATTTAAATAAATAAATAAAAATCATTAGTTGAAAATTATTTCCATTAAAAATGAACCTACCTATAGTATAAAAAGGATGATTTGTGACTGCTTCCTTCAAAAAAATTCTTGCTCTGCAAATGGTTGTATAATTTGGTTCTTTAGGGATAATTAAATAGTCACTGAATTTTTTTTATAATAAAATTAGATTATTTTTAAACAAAAAATTAAATAATATTATTATTAATGAAGTCGCTCACTTGATTCCATATTCACGAATTATTAAATCATGATCATTTTTTAACGCTTCTAAACCATGCCTAATAAAATTTTCAAAGATTTCGTCTGAATCTTCATACTATATTTATATCGTCAAAAATAATTAATAAGAA